GTTTTGGACGCTAACCTTGCTGCTGACTTGAAAGCATCCTGAAGCATTGGGTTGAAACAAGCCGCTCTCCGTTGCTTGCTTCTTCTTGGGCGAATTAGATTGAACCACTTGCGATTCTGCTCCTTCTATTGCTTCCATTTGATCTTCTTCGCCCCCTTCGACGGTGTTGCAGACGCTCGGCGTGGATTGAAGTGGCGTCGAAGTACCATTGCAAGCCTAGCCGTGCTGACGCCGCTCGGAGCGGCCGGTGTTCATAGCTAGGTCAGACTAGGCTACAATGGCGCAAAGTTGAAAGCGCCGAAAAATGTCAAAAACTCACTCAGAGACGACCATTCGCCCTTCCTCGTGATCAGGGGGACGAAATGCTCTCGATGAAACAAAAATCCGAATGAAAGTTGGCACATCAGAGATCACACAGATTAAAAAGACCAGAGAGACGCAAAGGCATGTCCGCAAAGCTCAGCGTTCAGCCAATGTCTCCCTGAAATACGTACGTGTGCTGTATATCTAATGGTTAAAAAAACTGCGTATAAGAAAAAAGAAAGTTAAAAAAAGAGAGAGGACCCTTGCTGCTCAATAACCCCTTCAAACAGCACGCACAGAGAGTGGTGGTGTGCATTGTCGGATGTTAACATCACCTGGAAATATCGATTTCGGAGACCCCGAGCCCTTTTGCATTCCTTTGTACTGCAAGCTACGTCCCTGATATGAACAAAGTACGCTCGCAAGCCGCTTGCCCCGGAACTAAAACGCTAGTGCAAATCAGTTCTGCGCTATCCTTCGAGTTCGTAGAACAACATGTTTAGAAATAGAGACTGACAATGATACAACATTTCGACAAAGATATATAAACAGCTTTTCCTTTTCTAAAAAATCTGTATGAATTGTCTTGTGGCTTGGTGCTACAAGCAGGTTGTTGTCAATTTCCTTCTATATCTAGTGTGGCTTGCTTTGTTCTAGGATTAACCTTTAAGGCTGCATTTCATTTGGTGCTTTGTCAGTGTTCAGTCTACAGTGATTTCTCGAGTCGAGAAGGCAGTCGCACAATTCTCAGTACGCACATGGCTATATATTAGCTGTGTGAAGGTGTATTGCTCTGTTCCGTCACAGCCACTCGATTGCCGTGGTTCCGTATTGCAAGTCCCGTTCGGTGAAAACACACTTGTGTTCCTTCTCACCGATTCCCAAACAATACTGAGCTGTGCGCAAAGTGACAAAAGAATATTGCGAGAGACAACCTCATCATCAACGACAAGTCTGCATTGACAGTCGTATGCAGCAGACACTTAAGCGATGAAGAGTATTTGCCTGCGTTCCACATCAGAAAACTTAATCCTGACTGCGCGCGCGCCTACTGTTTTCGAGAACTATCTTTCCTACATGATTTCAAGTGCATAGAAGCTTCACAAAGATATCCTGCTTCACGAGCTTCGCCTCCACGTCAAACATCAAGGAAGCGAAAAGCGGAAACCAACGAAACAGATATGGATGTTGCAACTTCACAAGACGCTTTCACTGAACAAGAAGCAGTACGTGTTCGCACGCAAACAATAAACAGCGACGCTCAGCGCGTGGGTCGATACAAAGCTATCATAGGACGATTGCATTCCCAAGCGTTGCACTATTGTTCAAAATGCAAGAAGGTGCAGCAAATGCTGAAAGAAGAGAAAAATGCATCCCAACATTATCGAGAAAACAAGCACCACGCATGTGTTAAGAAAATCGCAACAGATGCACAGAAGGAGAGAAAGAGGGCGTGTTTCTTTTGCATCAAATAGAATTTGACGGAAGAAAGCACCCAGACGAACTTGTGAGGGGTGTGTGTTATGGCGCTTTCTGTCACAAAAAGGCTACGATCACGCGCGCACTTCTGTGCTTGTGGCACTGCCAGCAAAGTGCACTCTTCAGAGGTCTATATGTCCAGAATCATCAGGTATATGTGAGGTTCAACGTCCAAACACCACCATATGATTACCAGAGACGCGTAGTGGAGGGATTTGGATATTTCGACCACCTGGGTTTCTAAAACGTGCACCCGAATCTGAGCACACGGGCCTAAATTATTTTCGCCTCCATCGAAAATGGAGCCGCCGCCGCAGCCGGGATTCGATCCTGCGGCCTGTGGGTCAGCAGCCGAGTACCTTAGCCACTAGACCATCGCGGCGAAGCCATCATTAGGTATGAGCAATGCCATAAACCACTATGCGTCTTCAATGATTAAGCAACTTGTTTTTAAGCGTGCGGCGAGTGGAGAAGCGCGCCCGAACTCATGCGCTGGCGTTGCGCTCACTGCACGGAGCGGCGGAGAAAGGTCAGGGTCGCAGCGCCCCACTCAAAGCAGCGGCGAGAGGCATGTACTACACCTGATGCGAAGGCCGTAAGAAGCGAGCGCTTAGATGCGGTCTAACTCGGCCGTGGCTCATCTTCAATAGTACATGCGCCGGCCGCAGCTGCATGGGGGGCGCTGCGATATGGGGGCCGATTGAGTTACCTAAAGGTAGCCAATGTAGTAACTCTAGGGGCCGATAGAGTTACTGTGTATGCTACCTTAATGTACCTAAAGGTAGCATATACAGTAACTCTAGTGGCTGAGTAAAGTAACTTTATATGCTAGGGGGGGCATATACTTTATGTGCTAGGAGGGCATAACAGTTACTCAAAGGGCCGAGTGGAGGAAATAGCTAACATAATCTGGACGTGCTGTGTGGCGGAGTGTCCACACATCAATTATTTTCTTACAACGTGCTCTGCCAGTTCTATTTTGAAAGTTTTGTCAGTTCCATCATCTTCAAAAGCTCTGCCAGTTCTATTTTGTCTGTTGTCTTTGAAGCTGCCACTGGTCCACTAATGTCATGAAACAAGCTAAATTATGCATGCGTTTAAAATGGCTCCCGAAGCCAAGCACATGCGGCGAGCCAGACAAGACAATGCACATAGCACCAAAAAGATCCATGCTGCTCAAAATGGAGAATTTCAAGGAGTGCACACACTGCACTCAAAAAGGACTGAGTCTGCTTTTCAGCAACTTTGGTCGAAATTCAGGGTCACCTCACCTGTGCCATGCACTACACAGCTTCACTGGTCATTCACCTTAACAACGTAGAATGGTTCTGTGCTAAACCAGCAATAAATATTGGTGCTGCCCTTTTCATGTTTGCCTGTCAACAATCTCCACGAGATGCAAGGGCGGCATTTTTTGATTAGGCCTTCTACAAATGGCTGCTCATCTGGTGCAAATAATTTAATGATAAAAGCACATCCTGTATGAATTCCAGAGTGCTAGTTAAGCACATAGTGGCTTTTTACATGAAGGAAGAGACACGCAAATTCAGGTCGCCAAAAACAGTCGTCATTAGGCGTAGTGATAAAAGGCCACATGACAACAGGGCTGAAAGATGCCGAAGTGGCCCTTCTGAATGTGCACTTTTCTTGAGAAAACACAGAGGAAAGAACCTTCTCTTCTTGCCCCGTAAAGGGCTGAATGGACCCTTCTTTTTGCAATATGGCTGTAATGTGCTAGATATTTGGTATCATCACAACCTCAAATCAGGTTTTGATGGTATGCTGAGTCTCTGTTTATGTTATCCAAAGCTGCAATGCTCTCAATGTGTGCATCAAAAGCGCAAAATTAAAGGTTGCACAATCAATCAATTGCGCTCTCAGATTACTATTGTTGCACGGTGCAGTTACTGAATCAACTTCCTAGTTCTGCACTCCTTTTAAGAAATGTCCAACAAATAGTTTCTATCATGCTGTATTTCACAGTTAGAGCTACACAGACATTTCCACATAGCCAGTGAGTACAGATGCTTTTCCACAGCCATCTTTGGCCTAATGTCTGTATAGCTACCACGCATAAATCTACCCTAGCACGACGTTCTGCAACATTCACAGCCACTGAAAATTCCTCCAAATTGAAGGCTGTGAACATTGGAGCATCGTTTGTGAACTTGTCGAAACAAGTGTCTCACACTCCATGGCAAACACTGCTTCTCCAGTGAAGTGCAATGGCTCTCTTTCAACTAACAATACCCATGAATAGTGAGCAACATAGGGATGATCCAATACATGTTACTTCCTCACACTGGTGAGCCTTTTTCCCCCAATGTAACCAAGATGTTAATATATTTATCACTTTATGTGGCGTTCCACTGATACATCTAATGACATTTATATTAAGGGCACCCTGTAAGACTTCTCTAATGTGACCTCCGCAAAAACTTTTAGAATCCGCCTAGTTCCACTGAAGTTACTAAAATTGCCTTCTCTTTTCTCTCGTCCCAACAACAGAGCAGTAAGCTAAGGAGGAAGCGATGGCACGGGGATAAAGTCATGTCATGTGCGCCTCTTGGCCTTGAGCACTCTTTTTCTTTTTTTTTCTTCAACTGCGTGGCTTTTCAGTGCGATCGCGAGTGCACACGCAGGCAGGTTGTGGACTCCGGGGAGGGCCCAGTAACTCCAGAGTATGCCATGCTCACAGTTAGTAGTGTGATAATGGCCTGTGATGCGCTGATTTTTGAGTATGTATAGCATCATTATTCAAGAGAAGAAGAAGTGATTTTTAGCTCACTTGAAGAACTTATTGTGAATTCCGGGCCACATTCTGCGCTATATTTGGCTTCAGTGTTTTCAGGAACCTCCACTATCGATGGGCAACATTATCTGATCATGTTCAAAACGCGTTGCAGAGCCCTAGTAAGTTCTCTCAAGCCGCACATATGCAATTTGGCCACAGTTACCTTTTCCCTACAGTTCACAATATAGTTCAGTTTGCTTATGCATTTGTGGCTTTTTTTAAATACCATGTTAAACACTGCTGCAAGCCTCGAAGTAATTCGTTTTGTTGGAAGATTCAGATAACATTACTTCAAACCTGCTGTATGTGTAGACGTGTTGCTATCAGTTGATGCCAACATTCCAACTCTTTCTCTTTGGTCACTTCACAAGTAACCAGCTCAAATATGTAAGAGATGACAGCAGCGTAAAATAGTGAACAGGTATTCTGAAAAAATAAAAGCCATCATGTCATTTCAATGATTCGACAGCACTGAAGATTAGATTGCAAGGATATTTCAGCAAACAATGTAAAATCTGCTTCATTTACAAAGCCAAATATACATTGGCAAGGTGTTCCTCAGAGCTATTTCCAGATGAAGTGAGAAAACAATGGGGAAAATATCGCACAGACTCATTAGTGGCTCAATTGAACATAATAGCCTTAATAAATTTGAAGTCTTACTGCAAATGCTGCAGTATATCCACCCTTGACACTTACTATTAACACAGTGATGACAATAAATACATGGACACATCAGTTGGGCACCACTGAGCAGATAGAACTGCAAACCTATCAATTTTCTTGTTGTAAGCACTGACACTGTGTTAAAATATGCACAACATACGTTGAATTCATAAACCTAGACATTTGCAAATGATACGAGAAGCAGTGCCGAGTAATTGAACATAGGTGTGGGTCTTACACAATGACTGCATTAATCACTCAACATTTCACAATGTGCTCACCACACTGGAGTAAGATCACACATACTGCTAGTCCCTTAAATTTTCACAGCATTACCAAGAAGCTATAATATGCCCTGCACCACACGACCACATTCAAATATTCTGATCATCTAATGGCATTCACCTGAACAAAAATGAGCTCCACCTTGCAAAGGGCTCACCCTGGCCAGAAAATACTGATGTGAATGAAAAAAAAAAAAAGGAAATTTTTGAAGCTGGTTCTAATATAGAAAAAAAGTGCACCTTTCTAGCCTCCTGTGAAATTCACAGTTTACTGAAATGATGTTGTATTGCTCAGAGGCACTACATTGCACACTTTTTGCATTCAGCTCAATGCGAACTGATGCTTCAGAGAGAAAAGCAGCAAGTAGACAAGCAAAAGCACACATCAGCTGCTTGCAGCAGCATCATTGATTACTGCCACAGCACAGGCAAATCCTAAATGATTTCTCGGCATCAAAACTGTTCAATTATGTGGCCTAAAAATTTCCTATTGCAAGCTGCCAATAACAAAAGCAGTTTCTACACCTCACACAGCACACATGGTAATATATCAGATCAGCAGTAATCGGACAGCTAAGCTCTGCAGTCTTTTGAAAAAGCATCCAGCCTAGTTCAATGCAGCCTTCCCCACACGGCGTGTGAGAAACCTTCGCACGTGTTCACTACACACACAACTCCGGCCGAAGATGCCAGATGCCTGCGAGTGTTCAAGCAGTCCTTTCCAAAACTTCGGTAATCCACTGCAGCTAAAAACTTAGCATCTATGTACACCAAACAAACCATGGTTCAGTTTGTGGCCAGAACTGCCCACCACACATGGAGTGTTGCAAACGCAAAAAATATCCTGCTTGTTCCTCTTGCGAAGAGTGTGGCCTCCAAAACAGATGCACTCTATACTGGTGCAATTGGTCTACAGCGCTTACACTTGATGTCGCCCGGTGTGTTCTCGGAACAAAGTCAATGACTGAGGCGACGAAACTGTGCACACAACACTGCACTCGCAAATGCTGTCATTAGCAAGTGTGACTAAGCTATGCCCACAGACATGGGGGTGTGTGGAGAAAAAAAAAGGGAAAAAAAAAGTAAAAGCAATGTGATAGGCACCGATATTACCTGTAAACTCGCATCATGCTGCACAAATGCATTTAAGTGCCACAGAGGCGAGTCCCAAGCAATTCCCACATCACTCAGCACTGAAAGATGCCTCGATTAGCAATGCACCCTCTGCAAAGCCCCACTATTTCATAACCTGCCTTGGCTCTTAAATACTGCACTTAACTTCTTTCACATACTGCATATACACCACAGGGCAGATTTGTAACAGAATTAACAGAAGCAATGCATCAAACAGGACATGCCAGATAACTTGCCTATCACCTTACTTCAAGTGACAACTTGCACCCTACTACAATATCAAATGCTACACTTCGCCAAGTTTGGTGGAAGCCACTGAAGTAGCTGCGCTAAGCCCTTTGGCGAGCACACAGAGCAATATTTTACATACAATCGCATATCTTACAATATAAGAATCAATACTCATCATGATTATACAGCATTTGTGAAGTACATCAAGTGGAGCAGCATGCACCAACCATCTTCAAAACGCATTTCACATACACGTGCCAGTTACCATATTTATCCAAATATAAGGCAGGAGTGGGGAATTATAAACAACTGAATTCATTAGCCAAAATTAAACAACTTGATCGATAAAATGCGATTTACGTTACATTACAGTATTCGCATGGCAAAAAAAACAGTGTTTAAGAGAGTATATCAAATAAATAAATAGACTGCATAAATATAACATTATTTACAATTCATCATGACACAAACCATACTAGGGACTCCTTAAAATCTGTGTTTGGCCAGAATTATTTGCTGCCTGTTCTTCATGAAGCAACTGCCTATCACAACTCGCACAGTTTGAAGCGCTCCTCAATTTTATGGACTGGAATGCCAACATAGTGAAATAAGCCATTTGCTAATAATGACAATGAACATGTTCACAAAATGGTAATGCTCAAGAACACACACTGAAATGAGAAATCACTCTAGATGGTGCATTAAACAAAATTCTTCAGTTTCTGTGTGTTCAAGCGAGCACTTTGTTTGGTAACTCGCAAAAGGCTTAGCAACAGCTCGAATTCCTTCTAGAAAGGTCGCAGCAACGCTAATCTTTCGTGAATGCTCAGGTATTGAATGTTTTTTCTAGTACACCAACAAAAAACCGGAACGACCACAACTAAAATTTAGACAGTCTACCAGAACAATGATAAAGTTGACTTGAAAAAAAAAAAAAACTCAAAAGCTTTCTTTGTAGACTATTTAAAGTTGTGTGAGAAGATATGTATCAAGACCAATGCACAGTTCCAATCTCACCAGAAATACCTAACTGAAAAGCTTTCTTTGTAGACTATTTAAAGTTGTGTGAGAAGCCATGCATCAAGACCAATGCACAGTTCCAATCTCACCAGAAATACGGGCGATCAAGCTTTTTGAGAAGGCGATGAGCCTCAGAAGAGAGCAATGTACCTGCCTTACATCAGAATGAATATGGCACAAATCCACCCTGTGCTTTGCTCATGAGTAGGATTCCTGAGGCAGACCCGTGGCGTGAGACTGGCGTGAGGATTGGGCTCGGCAGTTGAACACTCAGGCAGCCCGTGTGGCACAGGGCTGGCGGTCATTAACTGGTCCTGTCTTGATACAGCAAGTATGCCTTCAGAGCCGTTGGAAGGTTCAGTTCGTGCACCCGCGACAAGCGGGTCTTGCCAACACGCTGCCGTATCACTCGCCGACAGATGTCCTTCAGGGGAAGTGGCTCCGCTGCAATAACACACACACACAACTGGAATCTTGTCGCCAGGACATCCATTGCAGCAATGGCTCATCAAATTGCTTTTCTAAGAGCACTACGTGTTTTCAGCTATTGCCTGAGAAAAACTACAGTATTCAACATGGCCTGCATGCTGAACCTTGCTGTAAAGTTTGAGTGCACATGGTCTAATTGAACTGCTCAGAAACAAAACATCACTTCCTCATAATCCAGGATGGCATTTTGAAAGGGCACTAACACTGACCATTTAAAATTAAACCTCCAAGTTATCAGACACAGACCTACTTATCAAAGCATAGAAGTCACAAGTGAAAATTCAGCTGCCAGTGGACTCTATTAAGGGAGTTTGTAAGATGAACGGGTCATCTTGGCTTCAAGCTTTATATGTCAGGAAATTTTCCATATTTTATTGTGAAATTTTGTTTGCTCCATAAGAAAGCTTTGCCCTCACTTCGTGTGATTTTGTTCCAGGTATTTCCCAAAAAAGAGCTATTGTGATATGCCTTTCATTTTTGCAGCCATTCTTATTTACAAAGGTTTTGGATAACAATAACATCAACCAGCAGGAGTCAAATATATGAGGAACTTACAATAAACACTTCGTCTGCCCTACTTCTATCTTATACAGGATGTTGAAACTGCATGTGTTACGATATATCAGTCATGAATAACAGTAAAAAATGATACAGACAAAACAAGAGCCCAGATAACACAAATGCTGTGTAAATTATAGGTGTCCCTTGTTAAGCTCTGCATCATCGCGTCTTGCTACCAGCGTTGCCAGCAACCTATAATTCTCTGGTAACCAGTCACCTGCAAACTGTCTGAAGACAAATTTACGTTCTTCACTATGTTGCAATCTTATGCTGCCAAACCTCAATAAGATTTACATCAGAAAGCTTTATGTATCGTAAATTTTGTAAAGTTTAGGTTGTGATGTTTCAACAGCCAAAATAACCACACATACTTCCAGCCTAGTCCTGCATACCCAAGCGCCACAGCCAAAGAAAAGAGAAAAGCAGGAATTAGAGCAGTGCACGGGCCCAGGCTGGATAAGGCATTGTCGGATCAGGTCCAGGCCGGGCTTGGGCCCGTCAGGCTTGGGTCGGGCCTGAGTCCAGCCCGTATGGGACCCGGTTCTCATCAGTATACAATGGCATGTGCAGACTGTTTGGTGTGTTGTTTGAACTTGTTGTTCAACTTGTATAGTCGACTGAATAGCTGACGCCTACTGAAATAAAATCTACTGAAGCTTTTATTTATTTTATTTACTTATTTAAAAATATACAAGGTAGGCATATATATATTCCGAGGTCCAGAAGTGAAATCTCTGGGCGGACCTCCTAACAAAAATTAAATGATCTTTAGTTCTTTTTTTTAAATGATAAGAATAAACATGACCTAATATCCAATGGTAATGAGTTCCCAAGTGAAATGCCTGAAAATGCAATGGTAAATCTACCATATTTAGTTTTAATTTTAAGAAGTAGATTAAGCTGTCTTGAAAATTTTGTATAGCTATTAATGAGGTTGGATCAAGCAAAGCTCGGAATATTGAGGTCGGTATTCATAAGACAAAACATTAGTAGTACCACCTTATGATTGAATTTCATGCGTAGAGGCAAAACATTAAGGAAACTGAATATAGGAGCAGAGGAGGATATACGCAGTTGAAATGTAATTAATCGTAATGCCTGCTTTTACAAAACTTATAGGTGACAAAGATATGCGGAATATGTATTATCCCAAGGTGAAAGGCAATACGAGATGTTACTGTGTATGAATGCATACTATAACTACATGAGAATGTTTTGATGAGAGTAAGAACGAATTTTTACGACAATGTAAATACCAAGATTGAGCATGGCACTGAAACTTTAAATTCTCATCTAAAAAACACCAAGAAGTTTAGTAGACTATGATGTGGAAATTACGTCATTATTTAAGGAAACTGCAATAGAATGATTGGGCAAAATGTTTTAGGAATTGAATATCAAAAATGTTTTCTTAGATGGATAAATTATTAGCTTACTTTTTAGACACCATGAATGTACATTTGCTATATCCCAGTTAAGTTTATCCTGAAGTGCACAAGAACATCTTTTGGATCTGAAAATGGTGGTGTCTTCAGCTTAAAAAAGACAGTTTGCATGTGTTAATATTTGGGGCAAATAATTGATGAATATGAGAAATAAAAGTGGGCCAAGTATTGATTTTTGCGGCAACACCTATATTTATAATTTTTGATGAAAAGAGGACACCATCAATTTGTACTCTGTATGATCGGTGTGTTAAATAGTCAAGAATAATTTCTAAGGACAGCCCAGAAATGCCATATGATTCAAGTTTGTGTAAAAAAATGCCATGGTCTACGTAGTCAAATGCCTTGGTGAAATCAATAAAGAGAGCACCAACTAAAAGGCCTTGGCCGATGGCTAATTTATCGCCTTCATTAAAAGTAATAAATGCCAGTTGAGTAGACAAATTCTCACGATAACCAAATTGATCACGTGTTAAAATATTAACTTTGGCATGTATTTACTCAGACGATTGTATATTTGCTTTTCGATCACCTTAGACAAAATGCAGATAAAACGATAATTACTCATGCACTTTTGGTAACTATTTAAGCGCTGGAATAACTTTGCGTATTATGAGGCGATTGGGAAAGATCTCATCTTGAAATAATTTGTTTATTACATGTGCTAACGCAGATGAGATTTCTTCAAACACAAGCTCAATGCTTGATGGATGCTAAGATCAAGACCTGGACCCGTTGTTTTAAGAGATTTGATGATATTGCATACCCTTTGCAGTGTTGTTGGGAATAAGTAAAAGGCATGTGAACATCGCAGAAGACTAAGTGACATCGAATTATTCTGATTGGTGCCTGTAATACTCGAATGATCACTGAAAACATTAGCAATATCTTGAGGGTCAGTAATACTAGCAGAAATGTAGTTTACACACAATATACTGTTCATAGCTGTAGTGATGTTCAGGAATTTCTTAATTACTTGCCAATTTTGCCTGGCATCACTTATGTTCTTTCGTATTTTATTTTCATACTATTTACGCTTGGCCTCTTTTAATGTGGAAGTTAGAATATTCAAATACGTGTTGAAATGCCATCGCAAGGTATTATTGAATGGCTAGGCTTTAAGTTTCTTACAAGATTACCTCTTTTTTTAATAGAGAGCAATAAAGAGTCACTAATCCACGGCTTTCTTGGGGAACTGAAGCATCGTGCCATAGCTGTGGTACTTGTGCATGAATCGGAACATTCTGTTATTTTTGCAAAAAAACATTCAAAATCTTTATAGCCACATCGTTCTTCAAGCACATTACCCCAGTCGATTGCACGAATCATATCAATGAATTTCATAGAATCAAAGAATGTCCTGACATATTTTTCAGGTTGAGGACGTGTTAAAGGACCTATGCAAAAAAATGTAGGGTAATGGTGCGTTGCGGCATATTCCACTATTCCGGCTGTGCTACGATTTGTAGCCAAACTAGAATTAAAGTATTGGCCCCACCAATTTCACATCTAGTTGGAATGGAAATTAGTGATGACAGAATACAGCTCAGATAAGTGCGCACGTACTCGGTGTAAGAGTGACTATTGGGATAGATATTAACATATACAGTAAAAGCTCGTTAATTTGAATTCCACGGGAACGCTGAGCGATTTCGAATTAAACAAAATTTGAAATAATGAAAGTGAGCAAAAATAGGTGGATTTCGGGGGTGGGGTCACAAAAAATATTTATTGGCCAAAAAAGTCGGTGATGACCATCTGCCTCTTTTCTCTGAATGCCACAGCTGCGGCTCTCTGTCCCAGCGCGCGGACGCAGCGCAGGGAATCCTCTTCACCCTCTTCAAAGCTGAAGAAGAGACGCGCCACATTAAGTGCCTCCATCACCGCAGAAGCTGACGGGCGCACAGGCGCTTCGTCATTTTCGTCTTCCTCACCTTCTGGCTCTTCAGCATCAGGTTGCACACCGGCTACTTGAGCGATAATGTCCTCATCAATCAGGGCACCACACACCGATGCACCGGTGTCAACTTCATAATCGGCAAAACGTACGCCCCGAAGAGTGTCGCGCAATGCCACTGGCATGAGCTCCTCAGCCCCATCCACGTCGACGTCACAACTATCCTGCGCACTTCCAGCTGCAAATCCACTGTGGCGGAAACAGTTTGCGATTGTCGTCGCGGTCACCTGTTCCCATGCGCGCACCAACATGTGCATGCAAGTGAGCAGCATAATGCCGAAGTCCTTCCTGTCGCCCGCGCACAAAATCATTCTCTCCAGCACGTGACGCCTATAAAAGCACTTAATGTTCCTTATCACACCCTGGTTCATTGGCTGTAGGGCCGCAGTCGTATTTGCTGGAAAGAACACCAACTTAGTTGCTCTCAGCTCAACGTAGACTTTGTGTGCCGAACAGTTGTCGACGACAAGAAGAACGCGCCTGCCGCCCAGTTCCATTCGCCTGTCGAATTTCAGTAGCCACTTCCTGAATAGCTCAACTGTCATCCAGGCTTTCTTGTTTGCGGCTTACTCCGTCGGCAGTGAGCGAATGTTTTTGAAGCACCCAGGCTTGAGTGCTTTGCCAATCACAAAAAGGGGACCTTTTCCGTACCGGCCATATTTGCGGCGACCAGAACAGTGACACGCTCTTTGCTGCGCTTGCCGCCGGCACAGCTGTCTCCCTTGTAGGTGATCGTCTTGTCTGGCTGCAACTTGAAAAATAACGCTGTCTCGTCAGCGTTAAACACATCCTGTGGTGAGTAGCTCTCCAAGTACTGCTGCAGGGTGTCGCTTCTCCGAGTAGCGCATGTTTCGGCGTCCACTTCCTTTGCCTCGCCAGATAACGTGCGGAATACGAGATTGTGCCGCTCCCTGAAACGATGAAACCATCCCTCGGAGGCGACAAAGTCTTCAATGTCCAAGCGCAGGGCGAAATCGGCTGCCTTGGCCATGATGATAGGGCCGCTCAATGCGATACTCTGGGCTCTCATTTCTTTAACCCAGATAATCAAAGCTGACTCCAGTTCCGGGAACTTCGCTGTCCTTAGCCTTTTTCGACTGGCGCCAAAATCCTCGGCTTCATAGGCGTTTTCAATGGCCGTCCTGTTGCGTATGTAGGTTGACAACGTGCTCGGAGGTATGCCGTGCTTCCTCGCAATTTCGTATTTGCTCGAGTTCCCTTGGTCAACCTCTCGCAAAATCTCCACCTTCTCCTTGACAGTCTTTGCGCAGTAGTTTCCCCGCGGCATCTTGCAACTTCGATGCGGAATAAGACGGCTTGACAGCGTGAACGAACAACGTGCTCGAGGAACAATGTGACGCTGCCGGTAGCGGCCTAGGACTGCTAGGACTACTCCGCCGGCTCCTCAGCGTCCCGTGGGTACCGCGTACAAGTGGCGCCAGGCGCTGAGATAGCGGGAGGGCTACGGGAAAAAAAAAATTGCTCCCTGGATTTTGGAGGCCATACTTTACTCGCCCTTTGCTCGAAGGCCACTTGAAGCTCGAAAAAACTGGTCGTGCCACCTATCGTTCGACCGTAAAAGCTTCCACTAGTGTTTGACGATGATGACGCTCGGCGGTGCGCGCTTCGAATTATCCGTAGAGGCAGCAATTTCTGCTCAAATTAACAAATCATTTTACACATGGTCTCCTATGCACTGCGGACCGGACTGCGGCGACCATTTCGAATTAATGAGGTGTGAATTAACGAGCTTTCACTGTAACAATATCCTTGTTTTCATCAACTAGTATGTTAAGCAACTGCTCAAGTTCTCTGCAAAACTGGATTTGAGATAATGAGGGGAACGATAAATGCATGCAACTATGATGCTACATTTCGAAGGCAGCTGCAGGTTGATACTCTCGACTTCATACTGATTCACAGAGACAATGACGAAAAAAAAGATCATGACGTGTTTAAATGACTGTGCTAATTTCACCAAAATGGCTGAGCCACCATTACGATAACCTTCATGATGACAATATTCAGAAGTGTAACTAGAAAGCCCATACGAATTCCCGTTTTGGGATGATAGCCGCGTTTCAGATAGACATACAAAAAAAGGCATCATCTAAAATGTTCACAAGAGTGATGAGATTATATCGATGCTTATGAATACTGTGCGTGTTTAAATGATGTAAGAATAATGAGGGTTGTTTCTTGAACAGAGCTTTCGCTTTGTCGAGAGAAACAAAACTATTCACCCATGATGATTTAGGCACTAATGCAAGAAAAAAAAATGGGATGTATTGATTACTTGAAGACTGACAAATCACTCGCACTGGATATGCAATGCACACAAATGACTTCCTGGACTTGATAGTACAGTTATCAGTCTACAGGAATTTCTATCCTTTAGACTTCTTCACTTCTAGCGCCTGCACAAAAAGCCGCTTGTTGTCAAGTGTCAAGTGATCATTTACGAAAATGGAAGTTGATGGTTTCTTTGAGAGTCGTAATGAAGTACAGTAAACTCTCAGTAAGTGAAAATCTGTTAAACAGAACTACTGGTTAAACGGAACCGCCGCCTCTGAAATGGTTGGTTTTGAGCTTGTATTCTGCACCCATGTTGACCTCTCAGTATATTTCCGGTCCTTCAGTTTCCGTTTACTGAGAGTGTACTGTAGTTCTGAGCCTTGCCCTACGAGATTTGAGAGCAAAGTCCGCTTTTTTTGTTCGCAAGCAGAACCATGTTCCTTTGTTCCTTGTTTAGCAGGCACGTGATGAAGCAATAGAATATGCCTGAACTTGTGAAGTGACCTTCCCCACGGGTGTTAGCCTTGTTCAAAGTGGTTTCGTCTTTACTTTCAACCTTTTCTTTCCCGACGTAGTCAGCACTTTTTTCTTTCTGCCACAGATCTCATTCTCCTTCATTGTAACTGCCGCAAGCGGCAAGCCCACAGCCACAACCACGAGCCACAGACAGCCACATTCGCTCCAGTGTTCGCACCGAGGTCTTCAGCCATCGGCGACTAGGCAGCCCACTGCCGCGCTTTTAGTTTCTGCAGTGACTGCGCTCATCTCTGGTTCCCTGGTCGTGCAGTCCCTGGGGCCTGTACCTAGGCGGGGTACAGGCCACATTTAAAAACACCAGGCTGGGCTTAGGCGGGCCAGAGCATGGAGTTTTCGGGCCGGGCAGGGCCTGTGCTGGAAAAATCAGTTTGTGCAGTGCTCTAGCTTGAATGTTTATTTCAATTACAGAGTCAAATCTTAAAGCAAAGAAAACGAAATTCCAGCTCTCTTACTCAACCATGTCAATAGAGCAGAGTGGCAGTGCCCAGAAACATTTCGAACAAATATCGTAAAAACCGGAATATAGGTCAAACAAAAAACACAACAAAAAGCCGACCTTCGTCTTATATACCAATCATTGGCAGAAAAAAAATGTCAATGTCTCGCAACAATGGGCAGATGAAGTCGAAAGCCTCCATTGCCATCTTGAGCATCAGCAGTGTTGCCGTTGGGCAAGTCTAGGCAAGGCCTACAGTGTTCTAGCAATGCCGATTTGCCTCGGTTATCTGCTGTCAGTCTTTTTTTTCTTTTTCTATTTCCTTCAGAAATGAGTGCTAGTCGAAGGCGGTTTACGGTAGGCTTTAGGAAAAAAGTTAGCATGCTGAAGCGCTTGGCAACCTGGCTGCGCAACGAGAATCGGGTGCATTGGAGAAAAGCGTCCGATACTGAAGGAGCCAAAAGCCTGCACCAACAACAACAACAACAAAAAAACGATTTGTGGACGAACTGTTGTGCGCCTTGAACGCGAAACGCTACTCACCGAATTCGTCCGGGAGCTGTGTGCAAGGTCGTTACTAGTAACAGCGAAGTGCATCCGCATGAAAGCTCTCGAGATAGCGTGCGACTCTGGGCTCACGAGGGTGCAATTCAAGAAAACATTATGGGTGCGCTGATTTATGAAGCAGAAGGGCTTTTTGCTACGGCGGCGTACTTCCGCCTTTCCACAAATGCTGCATCAGTAACGCATTGAATGGAACAAAGGACAATGCACTCTGGGATGTTACAGGTGAAAAACAGCCGTCGTCACACTCAAGTTCAGACGAGTCCGAGTGACAGCACTTTGTGCCATTCTGGTGCTTAACTACATAAGATTAGTCTCCAAATAAAAAGAAATGTCACCACAGTGCAGCTGGTTATGTCACCATTAACCAAGACAAGGGTGCACCGCGATACTTCGCGATTTTTAAATATTTCTTTTTTAGAGATTCGAAGTTTGGGGGGTCGACCTATATATATTTCGGTTTTTATGATAGGTGTTACAATGAATACGTGATCCCTGGTTGGCTGGCTTTTGCAAATGACAAGCATAGCGTAGTGTCGGTGATTTGAGGAGATCAGCCAAATTTTACAAGAAAACATATCATTGCTGTATGCTAATGTCAGCTAGTCATTGAGATGAAGTTCGAGGGTGATGGATCTTCTTGGTGGGGAGGCAGGTCAGAGCGTCATTCGATCGACCAAAATGCAATGAGACACTCACTCAAGCGCAACAGTAAACGCCAAAAGCCTCGCTCCTGTGAGCTCAAGCAGTCGTCAACAGCGAACTTGTGCACCTTGACAGTAGCCCTGACACGATCACACTTTTTGCTTGGAGACACAACATATACTTTCTGCAATTAACTGCCTCTTCTGACTGCAAAGAATTTACAAGAGAGGACCTTCCCTACCACATGCTCTATGATGAGCGTCTCCCAGTGCAGCATAGGGTCTGACAGAAGTGGTCATACCTGCTATTACATCAATCTGTGCGCGATGGGCCTGCTCATGAAATGCGTTGGCTGCATGCTGGTGATAGCGCTTGTGTGTGAACAGGCTACGTGCTTATATGTACGTAGCTACAGGGCATATCGAGTGCTACAATAGCTGTAATTTCGGTGAAGAGCAGTAGTGCACACATGTGTATACTGCGACAGGCCTTTGGACAAGCAATCAACTGACCCGTTCAGAAAGAAAGTCAGCGAGAATCAACTGCCTTGGTGCTTGGAAATATGTTGCTGATGATTGTGGATAGGCCGCAACAAGGAGAAGGACACAGAAGGAAGGGAAAAGGAGGTTAACCACACGCAATGGAATAAACATTAAATGCTTGGTCTAGGACTCAGGTCCTTAATACGCGACATGGACCACAGCCCCCTCCCCCCATAGTCTTCCGCCAAAATTTCAGTCACAGCGAAGTGCGCAATTTCTATGCCAAGCCGAAGAAAGTTTACCATAATGAGGTTAACTACACGAGCAGCTAAGCATAGAACAAAATTGTTTGCCAAAATGCGGACGCTTGAAAAGCAAGCAGCTTGTCATGTCAAGGTTTGCGAATGCACCCATGTTGCTCGACTCTCGGGGCTGCTTGCATGTTATTAAAAAATATTCAGTTATAAATTGCGTGCAGGACCCAGTACACTAAAATTTAGCCAACCTGTTTGAGAGTGCACACAGACTAACCACATAGCACAGATTATGATTGAAAATTCTATGTTATGGGTCCTACAGATTTATGATCAACAAATAAAAATTTGCTACACCACAACAAGGCTACCCATAAAAATCAGCCATAAAACAGTACTCACGGTCAAGTCCACCAATGTACTTCATGGTGATTTCACAGTGGCCCCAGACTGCACTGACCACAGGGTAGAGCTTCTTGCCCCGCAGACCCCGAAATGCCACACCCAGGTATCGGCCTTCAACCACAAAGGCCAACGTGCCTTCGTCCATGTCCAGAACAACCAAGAATGCATCCGGTACTAAGAAGATCTCGTCCGCTGGACGGCTTCGTTGATGCATAAAGAAACAGAACTGCAAGCTTGAGCACCATGAAAACGGCAAGAGAGCGGATTCTTTTAGCCACATACAATGTGTGAGATGCTGTGGTCAAAAGACTCTCAATAAGCTTAAACTGCCTTGCTTCTTTGCTCTGCAGCGAGATTTTCAAGTATGGGCACTTTTTAATTCGTAGAGATCGTGTTGGCTGAACACAATCCCGACAGTGTGCAGTTAGAAGGTGAGTTGGTATTAAAATACTGTATTTACTCACGTGATTTGCGCACTTTCTTTTGAAATTTTGGGGCTCCAAGAAGGTGGTGTGCAAATTACACGGGGATTTCGAGAATGCATAGGAAATAAGGTGCGATTGACCTAACGCACGCAGTTTTACATTCAAGAAAAGAAAATAATTTGGAGCATGAACAAAGTGTACTTGATCATTTAACATACTTTAGCTAGTTAGATTCAGTCACGCATGGAATTAATAATTGAGAGGTCCAATTGAGAATCATTGTAGCAGCTGCTGTCACCGCCCTCCCAAAGTGCATCGCCCTCAGTTCTGTCCAGCGTGTTCGTATGTCCCACTTTCTTGAAGCTATTCTTGACAATACTGAGAGGAACTAGGTCTCGTGACACAGCGATAATGAAGGACCTAATCATTTGCACATAATGGCCTTCTTCAGCAACAGAAAACTTCAATCAGCAAGCGCACACTCTTTTGCTTTCTCCCGTACTGTACTGATCCCGCCGATCATCACACGTTGAAGAACTTCACACTGAAGTGCTTGGAAGTAATACGACTCCCGTTTTCTGCAGCAAACTCTATAACAGCAACATTGAATTTTGCTGTATATATAATTACTGTATCCCATCTGAAGAGGACAGTAAAAACGTGACGGAAAGATGGTGAAACTTAAACTTCCAGAACCAACCAAAAGTGCGTTGCAGTGCGGACGCAGAGAATGAGGGGAACGGTTGGTGCGACAGGCCCAACAGGCCCTTGCACGCCTTCGGTGCCAAAAGTTGTCTGTGCCATGACGCAAGCAAGCATTCTCACGGCGGTAGAGATAGAGAAATAGAAGGCCGCAAACGCTCGAGCAGTTTCAGCGACCCCTCAACAAATTCGAGTGTTCTTGCACGGTACTCTAGAGGACCTAGCTTGAGGGAATTGCTCAGAACATAGAGGCAGAAAACAAATCCGTGCCTCCGAAAAAGGCCTTAGCACAAGCAGCCCGTTTGACTGCGTCGCCCGATTGGCGGGGCACGCGCCAGATGCGCCCGTCCAAGGAATCCAAAAGCCCTAAGTCTTGGTGTGCGCTTGCGCGGGTCGGGGAGGCAAGATATGCGAATAAATATATATTTTTTCCCATAAAACTGACAAAATATTAGAGGTGCACAAATTAAGCGAGTAAATACGGTACACTCCCCAGCCATAGGGGGCTGCCTTTTTATGAGTTGACTTGCAAACTTCCTGCAAAACGAAGTTGCAAGTTTGTCACCTCCGTTCTTTCTTCCCTTTATGGGTGCCTGTATAGCAGCGAGGCCCTAAAGCTCCCGCTGCTTTCCCATCTCTAAACAGGCCAGAGGTTCACACTATTGGTCTGTTTAACTGGCTTCTTGCATCTCCTCTTTCTTGGCAAGGAACAGCTCTTGGGCAGAGTATGCACAAAAGAAATTTTGGCTGCCACATAGCAGAGACAGATCTTTGCAGTGCATTATACACAACAAGATAAGAAGAGCCCCACCAGCTTATTGACATAAAAAAGATATCTTGCAATCAACTCTCTTGCTTCATATGAAAACATTCTATAAAATTTTATTTAATGGTTTACTAGAAAGCCATTCACTTAAACTCACAAAATTGAAACTTCAGGAAAGAAAGTTCAACTTACACAGGTTGGCTCATCAATTCAAACAGGTTTAACAGCATAAAGGGCAGGAACAAGTGAAGCACAGAGGCAAAAAACGCGGTTCCACTATACGCACAGAAGCAGTCTCCACAACTGGGATACTCAGACTGCATCCTGCCTACGGTGTAATCATGCTTGAGTTTATACAGCTCGTTGCATTCAAACGACACCGTTGAAACAGACGGGGCACACTCACCAGTCCCCAGGGTAAGTGACAGCGGGGTTGTTTTTAACGTCGTGGTATAGCTTGTTCCGGCCCAGGTCCCATCCCCAGGACTCACGGTTGCTGCCCACCAAGGACTGGTAGCCAACCGAGTGAAGTGGAGCATCCCGTGTGGCCACACCCACTACAGCATGTGTGCCCCGCTGTCGCGTACTCCAACGGACTTCCCACACATGAAGCCCTCGTGTGTAACCCACCTGCACAACAAATAACAACACTGTGGCCAACCTTCAAGTACTGAGGGACCACCTCAGCACGTATGTATGTTTTCAAATTCTTTCTCACACAACAAACAGAAAGCAGCTGAGCCAGTATATCAAAATGCGGACAGCAGTAGAAGCAGAACCAGTTAAAAGAATTTCATTACCACATTCACTTCTATATCATAAAAAATCTTATTTTCCCGCTGATTTCAAGAAATATTGCACCACTAGCTCATTAAAATTTTAACTGCATGCAGTAATCTTCTGCAGGGCGTTTACTTACAAAGCCAGTTTTCACACACTAGCAGATTGTGGCACAGACGTGCACACATGTCATGAAAGCACTTCCGATGACGAGTCAATGCGAAAGAGCTAAGCAACAGACACAGATCTCAGAGGCCATACTTTTGATGACCACGTCGAAACACGTACATATTGGAATACAGATCTCAAAGGCCACGCCACAGTCCTTTACTACTCTTTCTGATCAGGAAACTTCACCGTCACACTAGGGGGAGCTTGATATGGCATGGAAAGCTTCCGTGCCATGGTACCACAGTCGTTTAGAGGCCACAATCCTTCACCCCTCTGGTTTGATTCCACAGAGACAGCACATAGAACCGATGCGAGCCGAAAGTTTGTGAGTTTACTTCGTATCAACGATTGGTTTTTGGATAAGGGCCAAGTTCAGGCATGGCACAAAAATGTGCATTCACGTGATGACGCCGTTCAGGTGCTGCATACCAAGGTGCCGTTTAAAGGCACTACTGAAAAGGTTTTTGCAAGCCAAGTGTTCGTGAAAAGTTTGAAAACTCAAGGTCAGCCATAATGTGGCAAGAAACGAACGACTTCAGCACTGATTTAAAGTATGCGGGCGTGTGTGTGAAGCAATTTGACTTATCGGGCATCATCTATGCGCACCATTTCACAGTAAACGATGACACCGTATTGTTGCCAAGAGAGAAGCCACACCTAAAGTTTAATGACATTTTTCGTCTGTTCGACGGCCTGGCAGCATATATTACGAATCGGTAGTCACGACCAGTGACAGTTCAAAAACCACGGAAACAACCTCGAGAGCCATCGTGAGCAAGGGGTGTTCCCAGCCGAAAAAAATAAGCCACAAGCCACTCATTGTAACAACAAAAAAGAACATTTTTGTGACAACTATCTTTTAAAATGTCTTTTCAACTCTCAAATGTGAAAATTATGTGTTATATCTCGACTTAAGCATTTGCATGGTTTCATTTTCTTCAAAGAAATATCGCGGTTACAATCCTATCAGGCGCACTGGTTGGCCAAGGAAATATGGCACTGAATACAATTGCGCACCCATCAATCCTTGTCACTCTGCTCGTACAAGACAGAAATTACGAAGTGAAAAAGAGAATCAGGGGGACAGATTAATCTACGCAGTTTTCATGAGGGATGTTGACAACCAAAATTGTCTTATAAAACTGGGTTTCATCATTCAAATGATACACAAGAAAACCAACAAGGTTCTCGAGGCCTCAAAACGACAACGGTTGCTGTCGAGAAATCACTTCATCAACAGTTATCATCTGCGGATGTATCTGTTTCAAATAGCTAGATTACCAGAATATGCAAGCTCACGCCCTAGAATATTGTCTGTTACATAAAAATAATTCGTCACTATTGCTGGAATGAAATGCATGCCATCGCAAGTTCAGGAAATAACAGCTCTTGACCTTGAGCTTAGGATGTCATTCATTAATATTAATGCCACTGATATTTTATTCTCTGTATCATTCATCACAGCCACTTGTTTTTTTTTTGTTTTTTTTTTGGGCCTGTTGGGCCAACTAAAGACAATTTAAATACCGAAAAAAAAAGGTATATGCCCGTCGCCTGCTGGCACAGTCAGCCACCAGCTGAATTTGAGATTGCTTACAATTTGCATGTGCCTCATTTTCCTTACAAAAACATTCTCAAAGTTTCAAGCTTTATTCATATCATTGTGACAACACAATAATATGCAAATACTGTCTAGAAGAAGCAACTCTTTCGGCTACAATGTACGAGCGAAGAGAAACACAATTCCAGCCAAGGCAGTCTGAGAGCGCGTTGGTCACTCAAATCGTTCAAGTGTTGCAACAGACTCAAATGCAACATAAAGTTGCTCAAGGAAGCTTCGCCAGCCTTTTATCACAAATTTCTTTATGAGCTAAATCTAAATACAGTTTTTGTTAATACTTTGCATGAAAAGTGCATTACTCATTGCAGTAACACTGTTAGGAATGGCGACAAAAGTTTCAAACGTAAGACTTTTCAGGGCTCCAAGCAGGTCAGTTCCAGCATCAAATTAAAATAATAATGTAAGAAAGGCTTTGGTGCTGCTCAGTTTAAAACTCTCAGATCAACTCAGTGCCGTCCAGGGAGCCATGGAAGCTGCATGAGAGAAACAGCTCCGAGTGGCCATTAGGCCGGCCCATTTATAAGCAGATGTGCCATTCCGTCTGCACAAATAATAAATAATTTATTCCAAGCCGATCAAGAGAAGTTGTTTAAAGAGTCTGATAGGAACGCTTTATTATTGGGCGAAGCTTTGCAGCTGTGCAGGGGCCACATAATGCCAGAGCACCTACTGTAATGGCACTTGCTCATAAATTAGAATGTGCTCTACAATTTTATTAATAACTGCTGCAGGAGATGGTCTTTTGGAACAATGCTGTCGAATACGATCGGCGTGTATGAGCAGAACTAGCCTGCCCTGCACTGCTGAGTGAAATTGACATGATAATCACACTGTGACACACGCCCCCCCACCCCCCAGACCTGTGCAGAGTTTGGATATTGCGGACTTTAAATGAAATGGACTCATATTGCCGGATTATCATGGTACATTGAAACTAGAGTAGAAAATATGTGCATTAGAGAAAAAGATATGCAGTTTTTGAGAGCATATTTCTTACTGAGCTTTTTGGCAACATTGCTATGTCCAACAAAAGGAACAAATTATGTGGCAAGACAGCCAGAGAGCTTATCTCGTCAATAATGCTCAATAATGCGCAAAGTAAACAGATGTAAATATGAGTGAAAAAGCTTTACTAGTTATTAAGATTATTGAGAGTTATAATTTGATAAACGACACCACGAGAATATAGTATCATCATCTAGACCAGCTGTCTGGCTATCTTGCTGCATACTTTGTTTTTGTTTTGAGAAATTGCTAAAACTTTCTATAAAAGTTTAGAATGGCTCTTGCGTTTTGTGTTTCCGTTTCTTTGTGTGCATTCGTCTTACCTTGCGACACTGTTTCAGCATTATGAACGTAAATTTGTGCCAGAAAACATTGAAAAAGCATATCTTTTATCCTAATGTAGCCATTAAAGATCTACTCAAACATTTGGAATCTGCAGATGAAGCTGAAAAGTGTAATAAATTTTACTGCATTCACTCCACCATTAAGAGAACACCTTTCAAGAACCATGTCTCCCTTTGAAGCGAAACTAAATACAAAACAATCACTTGGTTTAGATTGATAAGCTGCCCTTGGGGAACTCTAATGCCATACTTTCACTGTCATAAGTTCATATTAGTGAAGAAAATCAAGGTTGAAGTTTCATTTTTAAATTTCGTGCCGCAATCTGCACATGTGATGTAACAAATTTCAAAATTGAGTTTTCGTATTTTCGCTACACTGGTTCAATGAAATTTTCCGAAATTTCATATGATAAGTCTATGGCGCCCACAGATGACAATGTACTTCATTTTTATCGAGTAGAAGCTACATAGGACCCAGTAGATGCATTCAAAATTTACTGTGTTTGGCGCATAAATCTCACGGTAGCATCTCCAGCTGCATTTTTCTTCGGAGAGTTTTCTTGCTTATAAAGTGTCGTGTTGCGGTAAGAGTGATGTTTTCGGGATTGTGAAATTGTGTCCTCTTTAGTGTCCCTTTAAACTGATGTGACAGTCTTGTGACCAGAAAAGCTCTTGAGTGATGCTTTTGCTCGCAGGATCCTCAGAATCGTCACTGGCGTCTTACGTTAAGTTAGGAGTGCGATGACACATGTCAGACATGTGTCAGACAAGCGATGACACATGTCAGACGCAGGCGCGTAGTGATGCTACCGGACTAGATGGGATTCAAGCTGGCCTGTGTTGCATAGACATGGTACATGATTGGGGTGCGAAGCAGGGCTATTTTCATGCAACGCTGTGCAAATCTAAATTAGCCGTGAAAACTGGGTGCGCTTGCATGGGTGGATTGTTCATTTGGAATTTTACAGTAGCACATTCTTCGGAAGTCTTTTGAGCATGCCTAGCTCATGCCATTTTTTAGCAGCTTGCGCCTTGTGCGGGTTAGTCGACTTGTGGTTGGCCTTGCACTTCTGTCTTACTGCTTCGTCCTCGTCGCTTTGCCTTATCAGAAAAACATAGCACCACCATAACAAACATGGGACCTTTAATAACTGCCAGAGGGGGTCAACCAATCGGCCAGCACATGCCACCTTCCTCATTACGAATACTCAGCAGCACACCCCACTTCTCCATTCCCAGGTGCCCATCTCCTCCAGCGCTTGCTTCCTTGATCGCATCCAAATTAAGTGCATTAGTCTCATGGATGGGATATGCACACTTATGCCTTAAGGAAAAGCTCAGGTATGCCTCGCTCTCATTGTGGAAAACAGGGAAAACTTTGCATAGAACGGGGGTGTTCATTAAAAGCCTGTTTCTTCGTCAGACAAAACCCAGTGAAACCAACAATCCGACGGTTGTAGCATAGGTCCCTACCTGCAAGAAGTTAATTTTTCATTTACATTAGTTCTTTTGCATTTATTATTTCATCATTATCATACTACAAATAATTTCCCCTGTACTTCCCAAGCTTCATTCATAGATCGGCAAAAAAATGTGCAGCTCATTCAGTCTCACTCTTGAAAAAATTTTGCCTCTAAGACTCACTCCACCTCACACTCACCATAATTTTATTCATGCAGGCTTGTTCGAACTAAGCTTCCTCAAATTTTTTTTCAATCAAACTGAGTCAAACTCACCATAACATTACTCAATCGGACTAAGACTCACAGCCCCAGTCAACTCGCGAGTGAGGTTGCCCAGCTATGGCTTCATTATATGTTGGTTTCATTAGGTTGTGCCTAACAAGAAAAACACTGCAGTGGCATATTCTGCAAGTGTTCAAAGGACTCTCTTATTCTACCTACTTTCCCACATATTGCACACAGATGCATAAACCTGCCCAAATATGCCAATCCTAGTGTTGAAACAAAAGGGCAACCACAGGTTCTAACATTTTTCAGGCTATTTTAAACCGAAAGCAGTAGAATATAAAAATGTGACTAATTCGTTGCTCTGCCAAGTATAGCCACAGTAAGTCACGACAAAATTATTACTAAGACAAACACACAAATGTTGCTACGCTGTGCACATTTGAGGGCAAGCACTGTGGTGTGCCCACCTTGCCACGAATGCAGTCCGTGCTTTGAGCAACGGGGTGTCGGTGGAAGGTGAGCCGGTCATCTTCCTTGACAAAAATGTTTAGTGACCGATCCTCTGGGTTCCAGGCGTGCCGGCACTGTAACTCTGGACTAGCTGGCGGCATGTCCAAAAGCAGTTCGAGTCGCAACGGCCGTTGAGGCTCCCGCACGTCATGGATCCAGCCAGGGCGGCTTGGGTGAGCAACTGACGGCTGACCCACCAGGCTCTCTTCCTCCATGGGCTGAACCACCTGCGTAACACAGAACTCGCATGGAGGGCCTCAAGCATGTAAACCATGAAAAAAACCATAGCAATCACGACATTTATAACTATATTGCAAGTTTGATTTTCTGAGAAATATCTCTCCTTGTGGATTTCTGCGGCGAACCGGCGGTAAACAACTGAACCTTTCAAAATTATACTGCAATGCTGAAACATCACATTATAACAGAAACTCTGCTTCCCAGGCATAAAGGTTATCTGTAAAACAAAGATGCATCTCTTTTAAACTTTTGTGAAATATATTGCATATGAAAGCACAGTTTATTACACATATTGAAAGTTAGTTTAAAGGACCATCACAAATGTGCTAGTAGCACAGAAAGCAAGAGTGAATAAACCAAAACAATGCTGGTGGCACGTATGTCACTGTAGGTGTAACAGACATTATGCTATACCCGCTGCATCTCTCGCTCAGGGCCAATTATGCCATATGCAGGTTATAAATCCTACTATCACAAGGAAATTTCTTCTTCCGCTGCGACATCTGCACATTACCAATGTACAGTACTTCTGGATTGAACCAGGACAATATAGGGCTATGTACCGCATATACTTTCATTTCCACAGTCTTAAGTTCGGGTCACGTCGGTGTAAATTTTATTCAAATGTACGGCTGATGAAAGTGAACATCATCTTTAGAGACCAGATTTGTAGCAACATGATGTGGTTATCTCGGGTGATCACGCATACGAGTCGTTATATTAAAAAATATTATATCAGTCTTAAGTTCGGGTCACGTCGGTGTAAATTTTATTCAAATGTACGGCTGATGAAAGTGAACATCATCTTTAGAGACCAGATTTGTAGCAACATGATGTGGTTATCTTGGGTGATCACGCATACGAGTCGTTATATTAAAAAATATTATATCGCCTTTGAATTCATGGGTAGTGTAGAGTGCTCCCGGGATAAAACTCGTCAGTTTAGGGCTGAGTAATGCACATACATTTGTTTCTATCATCTTCAGCTTATGCCACATAAGTGTAATATTGGCTCATACATCAAGATCAAGCCTAATATCACCTTTGGCAACTAGATTCAGCAACGTGGCGGGCTCTCTTGGAATTGCTCACGCCAGTTGTAAAAGCTTGGCATCCTCAGGTTCCATTTCATTTGATGAGCACTATTCACAATATAGTTATCAACAACTGCACTTTACAAGTGTGAGCTTAATGAATGACACCAATATAAGTGTTAGCACAAATCGGCTATTAGAGGCTTACTATTAGAAAATCACCTAAACTAACACTTCCATTTGGTTTGACATCGTTTAGACAGAAACTCATGGCATGTTTTACAGAATGAAATATTAAGCATGTGGCCATTATGGCTAATTTGTCAGTAGATATACTTTCCTTAGCAGTATACTGATCTAGCAACAATGAATAGTTACCAATACATCTACTAAGTGCTATTAACCTAATTCTGGCACAACTATGAAATTTGAAATATTCATAGGTGGAAAATTTACCATGTTTCAATCACTGCAACGAGTCATGGCTATTTCGGTTAACCCTAATAGAGGCCACAGACACTACCAAAAAATTAAAAAATCTATGGCCATGTTGGACAGGCATTTACATTTTCCGGTGAGGGCAGTGGCCATGCAAGCTTTCAAAACCACCTTCCCTCTACAAAACATACTTGTTACTTCGAACACCAATGCAAGATAAGCTCAAGGGAAGGAAGAGGCTAAATGTGATGAGAAATTGATTAACAGGCAATGACCCTGGAGCCAATGTTCTGACAAGAGAAATCATTTACAGACCCTCATGAAACATTGTCTACAGCAAAATCATCTGTTTAACCTCTGCTCTTCACTTTTAAAATGATGCTCATACAAAAATGTCTCTTTTACCAAATGTCCCCCATGGGGTAGGGATTTTCTAAATTTTCGATTGATGTTGTTTTATGACCCAGAACCATAATCTCGGTATGGGCAACTTGTAGTGAGGGGCCGCCCCTTTACTTTGACTGCCTGCAATTTTCGCTGTACTACATAGTGAAGCCCAAAGCACATTTTAGGAAAAAGCACCAACTGTCTAACCTTGAGGCCGGTGGTGACCTTCTGCCCCATGGTGGCACTCCTGTGGTGATGTCGGTGCCTGCGCTGCTGTCTTCTCCAGAGCGCACTGGGACCGAGCCTCAAGGACTTGGCTGGGCAGGCAGGGCCATGATGCTGCTGCTGCGGCCACGGCACCACTCGGCCCAGCGGGCCCTCACAGCACAGGAGCACGCGTGGTGGAGGCACCGCTGCGGCGAGGCACCTGGGCAAACGAAAAGGAACTTCTCAGGCACCATTTAATCAGCCATAGGGCATGACAGCATTGTTTCTGCGCAAGATCGCAATGCTGGTCTGGTTGGTTTTCACTCCACAGCACCAGCAGTGTAGACAATTTGGTAATTCCGTTATGAACAGCTCCGCCCTGCAATTATTCCTTTCTGTCACTCACATGACGTACTTATGTTTACATGTGTGTCTCCTGGAATGACAAGCAAGCGTTTCAGAAGTAGTAAATAATAAAAACAATACGGAATCGAGGCAACGTCTCGGAGATGCCACCCGACCATGCAAGAGCAAGTAACACCAGGCCATCAGAGTGCCTAAATAAACGCTGCTGCGTAACTTACAGAGGCATCGTCATCTTGAAAGCCTGCGCAACACCTCAGCGCGGAGCGGAAGGCAGGGCGCGCCGGAAAGCTTCCCGAGGGCCTCGTCGACTGGTTCTCCTTTGCAAGCACACGGAGAACGCGCACAAAGGTCTTGTAACTTTTAAAGAGCGAGCCGCGCTGCCAGCCACGGCAGTAGTACTTGGGCAAAAAGCACAGCCACAGGTTCCGGCGCTGTCGTCCGCGAGTAGTTGTCAACGCCGCGCGGCCGTTAGTTGGAAGACCTTGTGTGGTCGGAGGAGGCCCCTGCCCCGCTCGGAGCAGCGGCAGGCAGGCAGCGCGCGCACTCTTCCGGTCGGCCGAGCGGCCAGCTGTCGGCGGCACGGAAACAGCTGCTGTCCGCCCCGATGCGCGTTCTCCAGACGCGAGGGGGTCCCCCTCCCCTGGAAGCCCTCCGCACCCGCTACTCGCCAGATCAACGCACACCATGAGAGTACGTTACGCGAAACTGCAACCGCGGAGAGCCCCTCCTTCGCTGTTGTTCCCCGGAGTGCCATTGACCTCGTTCGCGGGGGCCCCACCTGAACAGTGTTCCCAGCGCAGCCGTCGCGCACTCTCTTCGGAACGAGCAGCCGAATCTGCAATCGCTTCCCCACCGCGGCTTAATTCTCACACAGGTTCAGACGGCGCCCCAAATCGGATGGATGGATGGATATGGCTGTACCCTTTTGATCGGGCGGTGGCTAGCGCCACCAAGCCGTAATACCTAATGAACCAAAAACTATATTTATTTTTTTTCCTTAAAAGTGAGTTTGAGGATTCGTACTTTGCAGTGAAGAGTTTAATTTTCACTCGTGCCTTGACTTTAGCCACCAATCAGATAACCTCCTTCTAGTTAAGTCTACCCGCTTAAAGTTTATTTTGCCCTCCCGGTCCCTAAACCCCACTGCTTTGAAAAACTCTGCGCCATCATCCTGAACTATAGGGTGAAGCCTTTTACAGAATATTATCAAGTGTTCGGCAGTTTCTTCCTCTCCACACGCACTGCATACTGTGTCTACCCCTTCGTAATTGGCCGGATATGTCTCGGTCTAAATGTTAGGAGCGCAAAGATCAACAGCGCGGCTCTTAGGGGGTAACAGCCATCCAGACGTCTGGAATGGCAATCGTACGAAGTATAACGCGATCAGTCAACTTCTAGTACACAATTGTGATCGGCCAACGAGGTATGATGGTGATGTTTGAGTGAACCACGGGTTTTGTACTGGTCATTGTCATATCCCACATATTATTAAATCCCGCCACCGGTCAGCTGTGATAGAAGGGCTGTTTGATCGACTTAAAATGCCACCATTACAAAATTTGACAATATCACAAATGTCCAGAAAAGCATCCCTGAACGGCCAGCAATTTGGACAGTATGACAGAAATTCAAAACGGCAAGCCATTTCTCGGTGCACTGACTCTTGGAGGCAACAGTGCGTACATCGCAACCGTGTGGCGGTTTCGCAAATGTTCTACCGTGGAAAGCCCAAGCGCTACAATCGGCCTGACAAAAGTGAAGGTGTTCTGGCTGCTGGTCTGCCGTACGGTCTGTCCTGGAGGGCACGTGGCCGTCTGGCCCTTTGAATACCTTTAATGGCCGCTATCATCATATCTACCGTACCGTTTCAGTCACTGCATCGTACGGAACAAGCAACGTGCAAAGTCGTTTTCCAATTCGTGTAACCTGTACTATTTATAAGCACTGCTGCAAAACTCCAACAAAGATTCAGATCCTAAGGCTGCGCCGTACTGCAAGATGCCAATAAGGTGCGACCACCTGGACTTCTTTCATGCGTACCAAAATTTCTGCAGACGGTACAACAAAATAACTAAGGGCAATCGGTCGATGTTTCCTGAACCACAACGACGCAAGTAGGACGTTTGGAAGATACACTACAAAAGCCGGAATCACCATTGTGCAACAACTATGATGCCATACGAATTTCACTTCGATAACGTTCGTTGGTTATCGCCTGCTGCTGATCAGATGAGGCACCCAAGCGCCGAATCATGAAATTAAAACTGAGATTTTGTAGCAATACATTTCGCTTCGATGCTTCGATTCAACGCCACTCAATCGATTGAACATTTTCCTTGACGTACGACCGGTTGAGCCCATACAAAAAAAAAAAAACGCGGGCAATGTTGCTTTGACCAGTAACTAATAAATCAAGGGCGCTACCCGGGACATTCACAAACAAGACAGCTACGACCACCACGATTGTTTTATTAGACCGCAAAATTATGTCCACACAATAAATACACACGATACCGTACTTACTCGACTGTAAGGCAATTTTTTTTTAGAAGTTTGCTATATAAGTCGACCGTTGCGTTACAATGGAATACCAAAATTCTATTTTTTTTCTTCCTAGCCGCAATGAAAAACCACCCTTCGAGTTACATTTGCGATGGAGTTGAAATCGTATAAATGTGGTAAAACCACGGCAAGAAATCAGAAAAACAACATTTTTTTGTTGTTTTGAAACGCCGGTTTAATATAATGGGTACAAACTATGTATTTTATGACCGGTACAGGGATACACAAAGATATGTCGCTCACAGCAGAGCTGCCAGTCCCAACAGTGGGAGGGGACGATAATGTTCTTGCTTTTCCCGTAATCTGACCATCGAGACGAGGCGCAAAAAGAAAAAAAAAGTATAGCTGCGATACACGAACCGGAGCTATTGACAAATGCGTATTGAAATAAGTCCGATAAATAGCACTTTTACTGTTACTCTATTTTTTTTTCTGGCCGTCTCTCCGTCAGAGCGCCCCGCCGCGGTGGTCTAGTGGCTAAGGTACTCGGCTACTGACCCGCAAGTCGCGGGATCAAATCCCGGCTGCGGCGGCTGCATTTCCGATGGAGGCGGAAATGTTGTAGGCCCGTGTGCTCAGATTTGGGTGCACGTTAAAGAACCCCAGGTGGTCGAAATTTCGGGAGCCCTCCACTACGGCGTCTCTCATAATCATATGGTGGTTTTGGGACGTTAAACCCCACAAATCAATCTCTCCGTCAGAGCGCTTCAAAAGAGCTCTTATGTGTACTGCACCCATTTCGTACCACCTTTCGCATTCAGAAGACGGACGAACAACCTTTACAACGCATGTCTTCAGAAACTAGTTTTTTTTTTCATTTTTTCTCTTTCCATCATACGCTGTAGCGTATTTTTGTTTTATGTTTCACCAGCTACACCAACGTAGCTTTAGGAAAATTGCAGCTGTTATGGCCCGATCTCTTCATGTGTGAAGCCTCGATCAACGTGCACGTTATGAACAAAAATGCCAGCAGGGCAAGGGAAGGGGTTGGGCAGAGGCCTTCGCAAGGGGCTCCGCCCCCTCCTCGTCCCTATATTTACCGTGACGCGGCAGTCGCGTTCAGAGCGAAACCTGAGCCAAGGTTTATTATTATGGCGATATAGGGTACGGTTACGCGCGATATGCAGTATTCACAGCGTCGCCACCAGTTAGTAGTTGTCACACGTTCACGGAGGCAGGCAGTTTTGACGATAAGGCGCAGTGCCAGTCCGAGGCGTCCACCTTCCGAGGATGGTCGGTGCGCGCATTACACCACAATCTGGTCCGATTGGTCGGCCACTTATCAACAGAGATTGCTTCGCCGATAGCGCCAGTCGCGCAAGTTTCAGTCGGAAACGCGCGCTTAAAGGCAGCGGCACAAGCTCAATCGTGGCTCACCGGAAGTGCGGTTCTCGCCTGAGCGGCACGTAGCCCAGGCCCGCTTGCAGCAGCCACGGCCCGAAAGGCGAAACCAGGGCCAGGGGTGGAGGCCTCCCGGAGCACGGAGGCATCATCGCGCACCACCACGCAATGCCTAGCTGCTGCGCCGACTCCGGCTCGACCCCCTCGAGCAGCGCACTATAACGCCGGAAGCATAGGTGCCCTCCGGAGGCAACGCGGCTGCCAGCGGAACGAACACGACGAGTAGCGCGGGGGACCGTCTCCTCGACTGCAAGCGGCGCCGCGATCGATGCCGCACGCGGACTGCCAAAACGGGCCGGTGTTCCTCCCTGGGTCCTGGCGCCGGTTTTCCGACGCCACTGGCAGACCTCCGGCGGCTTCTTCCGCAGCGGCTTTTTTGACGATTCCCCCCGCGTACCACACACGTCCACAGCGCGTAGCCGCCGCAAATCTACATCGGCTGCGCTAGTTCGTGTTACAGCAGTCACGCACACACACGAGCGAATTTGAAAGACGGTAAAAAGGAAAAAGTCACTGATACGTTAAAGCAAGTTATCACAACGTATTCGCAGTGCGAAGAGCGCCTAAATCAGTTGATGAAATTCCCAGAAGGGAAGGTCACACTCTTTGCAAGTGTCCTTTCTTGAGTGTATTTCAAAAGAGATCCGTGGTAACCGGGTACAACTGGGTAACTGGGTACAACGTCACATATCTTAATCTCAACATTTTTTACATCGAAAGCTGTTATGGTATTACAACTCAGGTCTCGCGCAGCGCCGTAGTTGTCCGCCGCCGGTGCCCGAAACCACATCGCGCGAAATTAGCAAAAAAAAAAAAAAAAAAACCACCCTAATACCAGTTAAACGGTGAACTTCAAACCCGGGTCCGCTGGGTGCCAGTACAGTATTCTACCGCTGAGCCACGCCGGTGCTTGGGACTTGTTGGCAAACTTGCCTTAGGCAGGCTCGATGTCGTGAAAGCAATCGCGTTAACACGACTTATGAATCGTTTTAAAACAGCGACAGAACAAGCAGTCGTCGCACAATGCGAATTGCGTAACGAGTGGGTCGTCCAATGCTCCAACCCATTACAGAAGCTTGTTTTCGTTCAGCTATTAACTACGGCGCATACCCACTTCAGGTATTATTCCTCATCGTCGTCAGCCATTGCATGAACAGTTGGGTCAAAGTTCATCGCAATAGCTTAGCGGATACCACGCTTCTCACAAGAATGACTAAAGATAGCATAACAAATGCCGGCCTACTACCCTAAAATTTTTATTATTTATGCCGTAGTGTTTACCCAGCAAGTGTGCTTGCAGCAGTTACCCAATGGGTGTTTAGAAGAGGCCCGGAAAGGCCGCTCTTTAGCTTTCGCTGTGATTGTGCTGCGCCTTCCGCTTAGGCCTGGCTTTTTTTTTTCTTTCTAAATTGCTAATATGAAAATATAAAAGCTCTCAGCTGCACGAGACTTCTGAAATCGCAATCGCCACTTCACCGGTTTAGGATAAAGCGACACAATTATTCGAGCTTTTTGAAAAACTCGTTCTTTAAATGATATTTTAAAACATGATCCCAGTTTTTATAGGAATAAAAACAGATCCTATATTTACAAAAACAAGATGACCGCTATGACAAGATGTGTGTACCCTCTAGTCTGGGTTTACGCCACTAAACGCGGACGCGCCTCTTTCGCGTCTAGCATATTTCAGTATGCGGGTTCTTGTGGAAGCACATGCCATGAGTGGTCGGTGATTTGGTGCACTCATACAATTAAATTACGAGGAACAACAAAGTCCAGTACGATCCTGCAACGCAGCGACGTCACCCTTAAGATCGGAGATTATATATAGTTACGTCACGAATTGGCAGAGGTCAGTCCCTCCCAAAGCTTCGAAAACAAGACGGAACTTTTCAAGCACTTGCGACAATGACGTCAAATTTACAGCTAACTCTGGGCTTCAACCCCCCCACCCTCCCCAAATATGCAAAGTGCTCGTTCATGCACACGCCTGCCGCTACAAGTTCGCGCATGCGATACGGACCACATGTGACGATAACAGTAGTAACTAATGCTCTCGAATTGATGTGTTTCTTCATTTTTTTTTTACGTTTGATTGTCAGGTGAGAAGAGACTGCGAATCAGAAGGGGCTTTCCCGCCACCATGATTGCGAAAACCACGCCAAAAGTATCACGTGGCTGGCGTAAACTAATTCACCCTTTTCGTCAATTCTGCATCTCTCCCGGCGTTAAATGCTTAAATAAAGTCATGTTAGGGTAGCCTAGGACAGTCTTTCTTCGAAGAATATCTACTGCGGTGCAATGGAAGGCTGCCTTGCGCAGCTCGAGGTCCTACCTTGAAGTGACCTGAGAGGAGTACCTCGAGTATACCTACCCTCACCCTCTACCACATACTACCTTCCCTTTAAATTGCTTGCAATGACGTCACTGGAACCACCGTGTCGAAGCACCGGCATTGGGAAGAGAATGGGTGGTTGATGATAGATTGATATGTGGGGTTTAACGTCCCGAAACCACCATATGATTATGAGAGACGCCGTAGCGGAGGGCTCCGGAAATTTCGACCACCTGGGGTTCTTTAACGTGCACCCAAATATGAGCACACGGGCCTACAACATTTCCGCCTCCATCGGAAATGCAGCCGCCGCAGCCGGGATTCGAGAATGCGTGGTTGGGAAGGGTGCGACATTTGCGATGTCACATTAATGTTGACAAAACATAAGATGCAGGTTATTTTGTTATTCGTGCACAAAGGCGTTCTTGCCAAGTCGTTATCACACTGAAGCAGGTTAACCACATTTTCTTGTCATCAAAGCTGCAATCATGGAGTGTAAATACGTTCACAAACTATGTCCATGACTTCACGTACTCGGTATTTGGAAGGGGTCCCTCCTGCATTCATTCTGATGTCATCGGCAGCTCTACAAAGTTTATACGAGGGCTCACTGAGATTTCGCGCGCTTATACTGGCGCCCATCACTCCCTGAAACATTGATTTTGCACTACGAAGGAGCGTAAGAATAACCCTTCGTGTAGTGCTGATGCGGGCAAATTGCATTCAGGAACATCAATTTTACGTATAACTCGACGCATTACTCACAAATTTTAAGACAAACTTCGATAAGTTTGCCGGAGTACTAATGACCATGACGCATTTCACATGCATACACGAAGCAAAAGCGGCGATTTAATGTTCCGGGAGGAGTCTTACAACACACAAATACGTCGCTAAGCAACTTAGGTTGCGCTTGATGCAAGACAAAATTATCTGGCTACGCCCTTCAAGCGCCCTTGCGCTTAGATTTCGGTGCACGAGAACGCACACAAGATGGTCAAAATTTACAGAGCCCTGACGGCATCCCTCAGAGCTATATCATGGTTCGAAGTTCTCGCTATTTAAAGTTCATCCGAGGTATTTTTAAAGTAAATTTATTTACACATTTAGGGATCGAAACAATTGTTCAAGGGTTCCTAACTGCATTAGAGCATCATATGGTTGGGACGTTAAATCCAAACAATTAATATTACGCTACGCGATCCTTCACATCAGCGCCAAAACGCTTGCTCTAATGTAGATGAATGTAACTAAATAAATAAATTATTCCATAAATAAAATAAATGGCGAAGTGTCGCGCATTAAACCCCGACATGATTACTGATTGATGTGTGGGGTTTAACGTCCCAAAACCACCATACGATTATGACAGACGCCGTAGTAGAGGGCTCCGGAAATTTCGACCACCTGGGGTTCTTTAACGTGCACCCAAATCTGAGCACACGGGCCCATAACATTTCCGCCTCCATCGGAAATGCAGCCGCTGCAGCCGGGATTCGATCCCGTGACCTGCGGGTCAGCAGCCGAGTAGTACCTTAGCTACTAGACCACCGCGGCGGGGCCCGACATGATTACTAGGCATGTCTTATGAGTTTAGGTTTCATGAATAGCGCAATAAAAACGCATAGGAAGGTGCGCTGTTTTGCGTTTTCCTTCGTTTCGAAGAGGCGCTGACTGACGCTCCCACGTCCAATGCGCATATGCAGGGTGTCCCACATAACATGAGCCAAAGATTTGAAACTGAAAGGCACTTAGAAGGCGAATTGAACCAAACGCATACTACTCGCACTAGCCTGTAGGTATTCAGGCATTTTTTTCATTTCTCCCCGTACTAATTATTAATAATTCTTAATTACATACTTTTTTAATTATGGGCTGGAAACCCAAAATATAAACACTGAGATGTAGAGCACTTTCAGAAACCACCGACTAAATTGTTTCCTGTACAATGCGTCTCGCGCTGTTTTTTTCCACGCTGTAAATCTCTCTCTCTCTCTCTCTCTCTCTCTCTCTCACACACACACACACACACACACACACACACACACACACACACATATATATATATATATATATATATATATATATATATATATATATATATATATATATATATATATATATATATATATATATATATATGCACATACACGCTGTGTCAACTAAACTATCTGAGGCCGATGGGTTTGACAAACTCAAAAAATTTGCACCATATCCCGCTAAATGGAACCATGTGTACATGCATGCGAAGCTGCGGAACGCTGGCGCTCACCGCGGCGTTGCACGAGAAACTGGGCAAGCGCAAGGCACGCAGTGATGAACCGGCGTTTCCTATTGGAAGATACATATCGCTGCTAATGGGCACCGAGAGACCAAAGACTCCGATTGGACACAATGTCTCAGGTTGTCGGCGATAGCCATGAGACAAACGAGCTCAACCGTTACCTTGATAGAAATAAAAGAGCAGCATGGCCGGTAAACGTCCAGACTTATGTAGTTTAACCTTTAGTCCCAATTATTGGTTTTAAAATCACGCCTCAGCTGACGGCCGGACGTCAACCTGATGGTAAGCGGATATGACACCAATTCCGTCACATCACCTCATACTCTCCCCCATAGAGTTTCTCACAATCATACCCAGAGATAAATCTGGCGCTAGTGAGCTGCTGGATGCAAGGGAATGACGGAATTCGTGAGCTTCGAACTTGACTCGATTTTGTATGCCTCAAAGCATAGCCTGCAAGATTTCCCTTGCCTGCTAGATGAGCGCGAAACCCCCGTCATCTATGGCAGCGCTACCTAGGTAGGAGTAAGGGTCTTTGTACTTGGCCTTTGAGATCGGCAATTTTGGCGTTTGCTGATTTCGGAGGCTAT